ATGAACTGCAATTACTCATTTATAGAACTTCAGATACACTTAATAGGGAATTAATGATCTAGAAAATATGTCTTGAAGCACTCATCATGAAATTACATGTGTAGCAATTAAGCCAACGTCATTGCTAAGCCTAACAACAAGTTTTAACAATTAACAAAAACAACAGTTCTTACTTTTTAGGAAAGCAATGTATATCACAGAAGCAATAGGCAAAAAATTAATTGCCACAAACCAGGCAGCGATTCTTGGCCAAGTGGTTGAGCTGTCTGGCTCCAACCACAAGATATTGGCCTAGCAAGTCCCCCTAAAAAATTACCATAAAGCAACCGCATTGCAACGAAATCCCCTATTCACTCAAAATGCGCTCACCTCACAGAGAACAGAGAGCATCTCGCGTGGATTACAGACAGAAACTAAGTGTTCGATGATTTTCCCAGCAATCTCCCCACACTTTACTGACAAAGGCGCAAACTTTATAACCAACTTCGGTAATTCAAAAGAAAGTGCTTCGACCACCATCTGATTCGAATCAGGAGAAGAAAGAAAACGATAAATCTCATCTAGGGCCACTTCTAAGCCTTCAATGCCAGGTAGTATTTCATCTAAATCGGAGGTACAGGATTCCATGATGGAATGGAGAAGGTTGGTAACAGGAGCGACGGCCTCATCGGATTGGATGACGTCTTTTGTCTCTATCGACTGAAAGAATTGCAAGAAAAATATTAGATAAGGGAAGCAGGAGAAGCGATGAAGTCGGGAAAAAGTAAAAAAAAAAAAAAAAAAAAAAAAAGGAGAAGTTTTTATCTACGCTTGCGCAAGCTTCGAGGGCTTCTCCAAGGCGAAGAGAGATTTGCGAGGCAGAGGACGAAGTGGGGTGCTGGAGACGTTGGCTATCGCCAGCCATCTCTGGAGTTCTCGTTCTCGAAGTATTTCTCTCGCTTCAGGCGGAACCAGCTTTTCATCTTAGGGCGCAAAATTTTTTTATTAATAGATAAATATAAAAAAAATAAAAAACAAAATGAGGACATAATTCAAAGTGAAATCTTGTATTCCAATATGATAGAAAAATTGAAAATCATTACAATTTTATCAATCTATTTTGCATTTTTTGATAATATTAGACTACATCTTCATTGGGAATCAAATCAAATACATCTTTTTCAATGTAAGGCACAAGACAATCGTTAAGCCAATCATCACCCATCCTACTACGCAATCGATGTTTGATAATTTTCATTGCTGAAAATGCTCTCTCCACTGTAGCAGTAGCAACTGATAAAGTTAATACTAAAGTAATAAGTCTTTAAACTAAAGGATACACATAATTTTATTTTGAACTTAACAATATGCTTTGCAAGATCAACAATGCTTCTCAGAAAGGGGAACTCTTCACTGGTCCGCATATCAATAATATAAGTTGATAATTGATTTTTAAGAGCAACAACCTCAATTATAGAGAAATCACTTGGATATAACTCTGCCAGACATATCAACTTCCCCTCATCATAAGCATGAAAAGAATCACTTGGGTTTAAGCATGACACACAAAGTAGTAACTCTGTACTTGATTCAGAAAATTGATTATCTAGCTCTTGAAGTTGCATTCCAACTACAGTATAAAATAAATCAGCACGATAATGATGTAGATTTGTTATTTCTTCAGCTCTTCGCACTGCTCGACGGCGAGTTTTGTATGTTTCATTCATGTTTGGAACAACAACTTCAAAAACACCACAAAAACGTGACACTTCGGCTAGTAAAGCATTCCATCCATTCTCCATTAGTAGTTGCAGTCGTTGTAAAACCCGAAAATGCCGTCTAAGACCTCGCACGCTTTTCAAAGCGCCGCGACGAGGTTTAAGTGAAAATTTTGAGGTTGTCAGATTTCGACGGGAATAATTTTAGAAAATAGAGTGTAAAATTCTGGTCGTTTTCATATATAGAACTTATATTTAATTTTGAGTATTTTGAGAATTATGAATTTTGGAAAGTTAGAAATGCCAATTCTACCCTAAAGGTTTGTTCATGCATGGGTTGTTTAAGTGAGGGCATAGAAGTCTTTTGGTATATCCCCTTTCTCCCTAAATGAACTAACCGAGCCCTCATTCCCCCATTCACACGGTTTGAGCGGAAGAAACCGTGAGGGAGTGCACGGGTAGAGGCGACGGGCAAGGGAGATCGGGCGGCTCCGGCGGCGGATTCCGACGGCCAACCTTGGGGAAAATCGTAGGGGAGACTAAGGGAAGTGAAAGGTATGCATTAAAATCAATTTCTCTTCTCTCATTCTCAAGATTTTTTGAAGAGAAGATTTATAGTGTTTGAGAAAAACTTGAGTTTTCTTTGAGGTTCTTTT